AGCTAAAATTGATGTATTCTAAATGTAAAAAAAAATTTAAGCATTTATAATTTAATTTACTTGAAAGAATTAAATGATATTTATTTTCTTAGCCCTTGTAAAAACTCATTTTTAGGAAAATAAGGGTGTATGATTGTTTGATTTGTAAAAACTTATTTTTATAAATAAAAAATATTATTTACCCTTTCTTCTCAAAATGAATATGGGTTGAATTAATGATTGAATGATATTTAATTTTTGATATCATAAATTAAAAATATTATTTACCAGGATTATAGTTGCTTTATTTGAGTCTTGCTTTCTTGGATTTTCTTCTCAAAATATTTCACCTATAAAAAAAGTAAATAAATAAATTTTTTTAATAAATTATAAATATTATTTACCAGGATATTATTTGAGTCTTGCTTTTATAAAAAATAAATAAATTATAGCGATGACATGACGTGAGGACCTCGGAAAAATATAATATAGATAATAAATTTTTTATTTACACATAGGGATTATATTTATTGATACCAATTTGTTTAAATATGGTAGGTTCACAGACAAACTTGTATTTTATCATATGATTATGAGAAGTTTTGTATCATGATAAACACTGATTTCCATCGCATTGTAATGTCTTTCTATAGAAAATATCGAAGCTTGATATTCGCAGCAGATTTCACAATATTTTACTAACTCTTTTACACTTAGAAGATATTTCAAATACTTAGTTATCAAAAGATTTTGCATCATATATATAATTCTACCCCCTTCTTCCCCCACTCCCCTCATTTCTTATACCACATTAAAATTAGAACAACGGAATTCCAAATACAAACTACCCATTTTAATTTCAATGCCAATCTTGAGTTTTAACCCCTTCCCCTGTGGTAAAAAGTCCTGTTTAACATTGTTTGAATGGTTAAGCGTCTTTTTATTATTGTTAGTCGGTCTATAGATCTGGTTATAAGCAAGTATAATTATCATTAAAATTTAAATTTCTTCGTATCATTAGGGCTAATGTTGGGAGGGGGAGGTGGTGGGTGTTTCTTAATAAAAAAATTTTCATGATTAAAGCAATATTTTTATTTTCCAGCATAACATAAGGATTTTTATTATCTACGCTTGAGACAGATATCTTACTTTTCTTATATATTTTTTATAGGGCCTTGCTTTCTACTGTAAAAAGTGGAATCATAAATGATAAGTTCGCTTCAGCTTGTTTAATTGATTTTAATATCCGTCAATGCTTGCTTTTAAAACTTTTATTTTAAATCTTTCTAAACCTCTTTTAGTCTTGAAGAATACACATTTAAAAAATATGAAAGCATAGAAAATGTAAAAAAGAGATATTTTTCACCTTTCGATTTTTTAGGGTTGTATCTACTCCTTGAAGTACAACTCACAAAGTAAATATTTTATTCCATTAAATTTTCCCATCTTCATAGATGATAGTAACGTCCAATCACTATTATCGCCACTCTAATGAAATTTATGACATTTATCAGATTAATAAAATATAGCAACTGAACTGAAATGGAAATATACTATAATTTGTATTAAAAATAGCTGTTATTTTTAATAATATATGAAACATGTTCAATTCATTCAATTTTATCTCTACTTATATTTATTATATTTCTATATCCATTTTTATACAATTTTGTCTTTGATCACATAATTAGAAAAAAGACTCGTCAGGAAGCAAGAACTTAGCAAAAATCAATTAAGGAAATTAATAATCTATTTTTTTCCCAATTCCTGAGTCACAATATTGGCAATTTCATCATCAGAGATTACACGAATTAAGTACTGAGATGGATAGCAATTCAATTCGACAATCTACCTATGATGCTGAATATTGTTTAATGTCTTGTTGTGATTTTAGCGAAGGTAGAACGATTATTTACAGTTATTTATTTCTATATTTATTCACAATAAGTATCTTTCATTGACATTTTATTTAGTATATAACCATAAGGTGAAACTTAATTACAAATAACGATATATAATTACACGTTAATGGATGGGTGTGTACATAATACATTAGGAAGTTAAACAACACCTATTATTTTAATCGTAAATATATATATATATTCATATCTAACTGGCAAATATAATATATAATATGATAAAATATTACAATATATTACTTCTTTACTACATTTCCCCCTACGTTAATTGAGAGATGTCTATATCTCTTCAATTATTCGTTTTGGAGGCTTATGTGTCCGCCCTTGCATTGGGGTCTCACACTCTGTCTGATCGCTGTCAGCGATCACGCGCTCCGTCGTATCTGATATCAAACGGTCCCTTAGCTGGTCAGCATGTTTTCGTATTACACGATATGGGGTCTTGACTACATAGGAATATAATCCCTTTCTATCCTGAATCATCCCTTCTCTCCAACCCTTAGTGGTTTCATTCCTTACCCACACATGCTGACCAACGTCAAATTCCCTAAAATTGGAATGTGTATCACGTTCTTGATTTTGTTTATCATTGGCTTTATCAATCTCCTTTCCAACCTCTGGTCTAACCCAAAATCACTTCTTTAAAATCGTTATCATTTCCTTCGCCGATGTGTTTCTCATCAGGTCTACCTCAACCCATTTTGAGTATGTATCTACTCCAACTAGCCAATATAAAGAGTCAACCGGTCCCGCAAAATCTAGATGTATACGCTCCCATGGCTCTTAATGGATGGGTGTGCACATAATAAATTAGGAAGTTAAACAACACCTATTATATTAATCGTAAATATATATATATAATCATATCTAACTGGCAAATATAATATATAATATGATAAAATATTGCAATAGATTACTTCTTTACTACAGTGATAAGCTTTGACCTTGTCTTTTTGATTAAACAATAAGAGAACTTCATACAAATTTATTATCAAAAAATGCTTATCAAGTTCATACTAAATCCCTCACTAATTAAAGCATGCTTTGTCAAAGAATAATATAAATTCGAGGTCTACTTATCTGTTTGGCTCAATATTTTAAATGCAAATTTTATTTGTTTCGGCCAAAGCTCCATCCAAAATCTTTATTTTAAGGAGCCTAGCCATAATTTTAAATTTTAGGCCTGAGCCTGTCCTGTCCCAAATTCAATTGAAAAATATAACTAAACACATATTTAAACAATCAATTAAAATAAAAATTTAATTCCTTTACCCTAATCTTTAGAGAAATCTATTTTATTGCTTAGAATCTTTTTTATATTTTTTGAGTCAAAAAATCAAAAGCCTTAACCCTATTTAAAAAAAAATATTTTTAGACCCAAGCCCGACTTTAACTTAATTTCCAGGTTCAACTAAAAACTGTAGTTTTCATCAAACTCCATTCCCGATATCGCAACTGATGTTAATTATTTAAGATAATGCATTCGCGACAATGAATTCGCGATAATGCATTCGCGATAATACATTTGCGATAATGCATTTGCGATGATGCATTCGCGCTAATACATTCGCGCTAATACATTCGCGATAATGCATTCACTATAATATTTTTGCTGTATTATACTCGCTATAATACATTAGCGGCAATGCGTTCGCTATAATACATTCGCGATAATGCATTCGCGGTAATGAATTCGCTATAATATCTTATATAGAAACCTTCAATTGACGGTTTTGATTTTTTAGGTAGGACAAAATTATGGTGCTTCTATTAAATCAAAAATATTGGTTTCTCTATAAATATGTGGAACCCCAAATAGAGATCGGCACTTTTCGACACTCAATATATTAAAGCCATCGCATACATCTAAATGTGTATCATTAGAGATTAATTAATTCTTACTTATCTATATTAAAAAGATTTATGAATAAAATTTGTATAATAAAATAGAAAGAAAATTATATTTAGAATAGTTTTCCTAAACGCAGAACGAACGGAAATGTGACATATTTTTTACCCAAACAACTGGTTTAGAATCAAGATTCTCGTCCGTCATATTATATCCATAAGGGTAAAGTTAAGAACTTTTCTATAGGCTAATTTAGGTAGCTGACATATAAATGCAATATATAAAAATTTAAAAAATGGTTGGTTCAGTTTAGATTCTCTTTAATAACGGTTAATACATATTTAATAAATCGTTCTTGATATGAACTAAAAAGATTTTACAAAAAAACCATTGTTGAAACAAATAAAGTCATAAAATACAACAAATAAACTGAATTGTATTATTAAAATGTTAATTTTGATATATTTTTCAAATCCCGCATAAATTTCTTGAACTCTATAATTGTCCCATATATAATATTTCGCTATAAAATCAAGATGTAGAAAATAATTCTCTACAAAATAATTCTCTACAATGATGTAATTCTCTACAAAATAATTCTCTACAATGTGATTCTCTACAAAATAATTCTCTATAAAAGTAATTCTCTTTAAAATCATTCTTTATAAACAACATTCTCTATAAAATCATTCTCTATAAAATCATTCTCTATGAAGTCATTCTCTATTAAGGACCTTCTCTATAAAATAATTCTCTATAAAAGTAATTCTCTTTAAAATCATTCTCTATAAACAACATTCTCTATAAAATCATTCTCTTTGAAGTCCTTCTCTATTAAGGACCTTCTCTATAAAACTCTTTAAAATCATTCTCTATAATCGACATTCTCTATAAAACCATTCTCTATAAACGGCATTCTCTATAAAATCATTCTCTATAAATTAATTCTCTATAAAAATTATTCTCTGTATAAAACATTCTCTATAAAACATTCTCTATAAACTACATTCTCTATAAAACAATTATCTATAAATGCATTCTCTATAATTGTTTTCTCTATAAATGTTTCTCTATAAAATACATTCTCTATAATGGTTTCGGACCAACTTACTAAATAAGATAAGATTCAAAACGTGATTGCGAACGATCGCGATTTAACAGCTGATTGATTTTTAAAATCTGTTTATGAGATCAATTTTTATTCATTAATAATAATTTTATCTTTAATTCAATTAATAATAATAATTTAAGAAATAATGATTTTAATAAAGAAAAATTGATCTCATAAACAGATTTTAAATAACTGTTAGCTGTTAAATCGCGATCGCAATCGCGCCACTATGAATTCAATTAAAATAGACACATTTTTCTTCCAGCCAACAACTAATCATGGATGGGAGTTCAAAAAATTTTATCATAGTTAATATAAATTTTTTCCAATTTGCAATCTTAATTGCAGCTTGTCCACTAATAACCTTGTTTATTTGCATTTTTATATCAATATACTTTCATTCTGAGACTTCAACATTAACTCATTGTAAAGTAATTATTTCCTTTTTTCTTATTTAATTTAAATTATAAATCATAGGTTAAAAATATTTTACCATCATTAAGTGCTGCATTTGGTGATGAAAATCCAGAAAAATTTATATGGCAAATAGGAGTTGCTTTTCATTTAGGGCCTAGACTTTATGTTGGTTATTTATATAAAGGGCTTTATAATAGTTTATTGCAAGAGAAGTATTACACGCCTAGCAAAATTATATCAAAACATTATTATTATACAAATATCTGTAGGCTTGCGACATATTTATACTTTCAGGAAATAATATCTTTATCAATTTTAACATACATCAGTTCTTCGGATGATTTCAGTTTCATAAATCATTACTTCTTATAAATACTAATATAATTTTAGTGATACATGCTGCATCATTTACAGTGTTTATCATTAGTTCTATAATATACATGAAGATGTCATGTATAATATTCAGTCATTATACGTCCTTATTTTCGTTAAACAAGGTTAAACAACTAATTATTTTTATTATACTTATTAATTTATTTAGATTAAAATTTATTACTTTTTAAAATGTATTTTAAGGCTTAAATGATCTATCTATTATATAATGTGTTAATAAGTATTAAGAGGTCTTGTATATTGGGATTAGCCTATTTCTTATATCCTTTCTAGTTAATCAGTTTTATTTTATTGGATAAATATTAAAGAATATTAATTAAGATTATAACCAAAATAATACTATATAAGCCTGGAGATTTTTTTGCAGATGGTTGAAAGATTTGGACATCTATTTGCCAAATCTTGAGGCTTACATAATATTATCCTGGCTCTAATCTTAATAGAACAATCTTTAAAAATCAACTTGAATCAGGCTTTTTAACAACACTAGCTTACAGTTATATTTTTTATAAAAATAGTATTGGTTTTTCATTTTTTTATATAAAAATCATTTTTCCAAAAATTTTAAATTATAGTTGTTATTTTAAAAAGTATTAACTTTACAAATTTTTTTTCAAATTCTTGTATATAGTAATATATTGATTGTATATTTTTGAGGGGGAGAGTGGGGGGAGTGTATAGAGAGGGAATTTTTATTAGCCTAAAATTATATTTACAAGAGCATACAAATTTCCAAAAAGGGGTTTTCCTTTGTCCCTTACCTGACCTTGCCTATCAGGGTATCCCTGGTTATGAATTATATGACTTTTTGGGGAACTTTGTAAAAATATCCATAAAATTAGAAATTTTTTTAGCCTAAATGATTCATATTTGATATGTATTAGTAATAGGGAACTAGAAAAAAAGACACAATATATTAATCTTTGATGAATAAATGGTTATTTTATTTAGTTATTATTGAAATTATAATGATTCAAATATTTATATATAATATGATGATATATCCCAATTATCTTAATTTCAGGCATTGAAATAACAAGTTGATTATAATAAAATCTGAGTTTGCGCCAAAATTGGGAGGTCTGGTAACTCTGTTATACACTCATATCCATTTTGCTCTAAACGCTTCTATTTTTTAAAGCATTAATGGACTCATGATTGTATTTTTTTTTAAAGTATCTCTGTTTATTATTTTTGTTATTAATGAAAAAGTGAGAAGTATAAAAATGACCTATTACTATAAAACCTATATAAAATTCATAAAACTCGCCTAATCAAATTTAAAACTGTCCTCTTTCCTTCCTCCCCCACCCCTTCCTCACCTTTATATACACCTTTTTATGCACATATATTGTATTCATACAAAACTTGTAAATACATAAGCCTTCCTGGCCGAAGATTGCCCTCTCATCAACCTATGACTACCTTCCTTCTCATTCTCCACCATCCTGCCAAAGACTGGGACATATATTTGAATAAATAAAAAGCTCACATTTTCGGCAAATTCTTTAAATACATATTGAAATAATATAACAGATAATACATCTAATCTATAATGTTTTAAAAAAACATCTATTCATGCTAAATTTGAGTGTTTATATACCTGACAAGTTAATTAACCAGCAAATCTATACCATTCTTTGTTAGATCGGACTTCTGCCCCACTTAAGTTATCTCTTCTGTAACAATTGACAAATCAGAAAGTTCTATATCAGAATTATATAAGCTCAAGATCATTAAAAAATTCGGTAGTAATAAGTGATTTAAAAGGCCTTAAAATGTAGATGTTTTATAGGTAAAAGTATTAGTTGAGTAGTTACTCTTTTCTTAATGGACTAAATCTACCTTTTTAGCTAAAAACTATTCCCTCGACCTCATTTTATTTTAATTAATATTAACTTGAGACTCAATGCTTAATAGATTTTTTTCAGTAGTCCAGATTATGTCGACTTAGCCCATTTTTACTCTATCAAACTATAGTTAAAGCTTTAATTAAATGATCACATTCAGGGGTCTCACTAGTTTTATCTCAGGGGGCTCAAATTTTTTTAAAAAAAATTTAAAATTTTAAGCTAATATTATCCAAAATTACCTTCTTTTTTTATCAAACAAACATCTTTTTAATGGTATAAAAAAAAATTCAAAATTTTGAGCGGGCTCTTCAAATTTTTTAGGGGGTTCGAGCCCCTCCGCTCCTTCCCTCTCCTAATGACGCTACTGACTTATCATGTGTTATAAGGCCTCATATTCGTAATCAAGGACTTCTGCCATTGTGGGCGGCATGGCTCAAGATCGTCATTGAAATTAAAGGTGGGTATTTTTGAGTTGGGTTTGTTGCTAATTTTGATTTTTATAGGAATGGGGCAGGGGGTAATTCGTCGGGCTTAGATGGAATGGAGGTCGTTCATAATTAATCGAAATAAAATATTATCAATGAAATTTAACAAATATTTCACGGCATACTATAATGTTGTCAAATATATTATTACGCTATAATTGATAGGACTGTCTAAGGAATGAGAAAAAGAACGTTTTCGGGATCATTAGATTCATTCATAAATTAGCCCACTAATTGATGAGTTAAGATTTCGAAGCCATGTTTTGAAAAATTATTGTGCTATATTTTATGTTATCAGATACTTTTCCCTTGAAATAAAGAATTGAGCAGAAAATGTGAGCATATTTATAATTTGTGCGAAATGCTTAAATCTTCGAATGTACTCTTGGCGGTAAGAGCCGGAAAATAATCTTTTAATTTAACACTCAAACTATTAATTTGTATTTACAATGATAATTTAATTTTAATATATTATAGAACCACGCATTATCGTTAAAGTTGAAAAGAAAAATATCTAATTCAATCATTGTTATCATTATTTTAGCTGCTTATTTGTATAGAAGGCATAACACATTTTGCGAACCATATGGTAAATTTTAAATTAACATAAATTATCTTCTCGATTAATAATTATATTATTTTAGTTTATTCGTTATTCGCATTGTCCGAATATACATTCGTCATCTTGAACATCATCTTTCACGGCTTAGCAATATTAGATTTTGATTCTTATTGTGTATCATTTTTACCATCTCACGAAATAAGTGTATTACATAGAGTATAATAAATTATTTTATTATACTTAATATAAATAAATGTTGAAGTTTATTGTGATATGATTATTTATATTTAAATAAATTTGATTTCTTATTTTATTACATCAGTTTATATATCGGGTAGGCCGGGCGGATAGATCGAAAATTTAACATTAGAGTATCTCCCTCTAATTTATAACATTAAGAGGATAGGAAAGTTTATAGATGGAATTAAATTACCTATAGATTACGGAGATTATATATTAGATAGATATCAATACAATTTGTACTTGAAAAGGAGAATTTTTTAAATAAATTTTGTTAACAAATCAGAGATTTGAACGGTTATATATAAAGAGGTTCAGCTGCTTAAATCTTAAAGGTTCTGGTTCGGTTACGTTACGGTTTTCAAAAATAATAAAGGGTTTTTCGGGTTTTGAGATTTTTGTAATATTTTTTTATATCAAACTTAAATAAAAATATCGAAAAACCCAAAAATGTTAATTAAATTTTGAAATATACAAACATTAAATTATAACGGGAGTCATAAATATGATATATCGTCGGCCTAGAATTGGAGTGCTCCAAAGCTTATTGATCAATTTTGACTTTGGAAAAATATAATATTATTTAATCTAGTTTTTATATTTATATAGAAAAAATAAGTTATTATCCACCTAACTCAAAAATTTTGAAAATGTCGAGTGGAGCACTCCAATTCTAGACCGACGATATGTTAGCGGCAATGTGTTTATTCCGGTAATGTTATTTTTTCAACTTTAAATAATTTTTTGAGCGCGTTTTTTTAAATTTTATCGAAAATTTATTCCAGCATGTTTAGAATACCTCTATTAGGAATTGTAGATAAACCGTTAACTTTCGAGTTATTTATAATTTATATGCAAAATCTATGAAAAAACTAATATAAATTATTTTGAGTTCAAAAGTTCATGGCAAAATTGTCTGAAATTTATAGGGTAGCTATTCCAAACATAATTTCCGGTAAAATCAGATTTTTAAATTAAAAAAAAACGCGCTCAAAAAATGATTGAAAGTTGGAAAAATAACATTTTGCCAGAAAAAAAATTACCTCTTATATATATATATTCTTTTACATAAACAATAATAATTCTGGATAAACATAATTTTATTGATTATAATATATTTGATTAGATATAAATATTGTTTTGCATCTTCATATAATTTTATTAATTTTAATAATAAATTACATATATATTGTTTAGATCTTCATCTAACTGTTACAAGTTTAAAATTTAAAATACATTATTATCAGTAAATATTCAAATAAAGTAACCCATGACCGGAAATTTTTTTTTTTTTATCTAAATAAAAAATGTCTCTTGAGTTATATAAATTTTTATATTATCCTATAATAATATTTTCCACTTTAAGAGTTAAATTCAATTTTGTATAGGAGATTTTATTTACACAAACCATGTAATTAATTTCATTTTGAACATAAAATTGATCATCGAATAACGGAGAAAATTCTGATTCCCCATCATTGGGCAAGATAAAAAATAGAAAGTCTTTCAGTTAGAAAATTCAAACATCGGATAAAGAAGAAATTTCATATAATATTTCTAAAATAATTATATTTAATTTACCTTGAAATGCATGAAAAACAAAATATGGAGGCCCAAAGCTACTGCCCCGCCCACCAAGAGTATGCTAATTAATCCATTATCAAAAAGGATAAAAACAAAATATAGTTTCATATGGCAGCAAGAGACATTTTTAATAAAAATGATAAACAAATGTGATTAAACCATATGATTGTTTAAAAAAAGGATCAAATAAAATTGATAAGAAAATAACCCAATTAAAAAAAATTACATCAGATTAAGTATGCGGATATATCATTGTGTAAAAAAATAATCCATTAATATTGAATGAAAAGTAAACCAATTAAAAGGTATTATATTTGTTTCATATATAATAAATATATTACTTTTATTTTATAATATATGTGTGGGTGCATAGGGAGAGCCGTTGCCTCCGGATCGGTTAGGAGGTAAAATCTCAATCTCAAACCGATTCTGAACTCGAATTGGTCAGGCCGGATCACGGCCTGGATCGGCCGGGGGGGATAGATCTAAAATTTAACATTAGGTTAAATGGTCTCCTTAAATTAACATTAAGATGATAGGTTGATAGATAAGAAGATAGGAGAAACTTCTAGATTATGGAAACTATAAACAGGCTCTTAACGGGGGTGGGAATCTCCTCCATCGCAAATTTGCATGCTTTCATACATATCATTTTGAGTTAATAAAAGATTCTCCCCTACACATTCCCTACCCTCCCCCAAAAATATATACAATATATCAGTATAGAGAAAAATATGAAAGCAATTAAAATTATTATAAGTTAAAACTTTTTTAAAAAAAGCTATAATTTAATTTTTTTAAAAAAAAAACATTTATATATAAAAAAGTGAAAACCAAAAATTATTTTTTATAAAAATCTAATATAGCCAAAGGCCTAAAATAAGAGAACCTAAAGCCCTCCAATAAAATTTAGGGGGGAAAACCTCCATTCGCAGATTATAGGCCCAGGCCCAGCATTTGTTAGCTACGGAAATTTTATTATTAGAAGAAAGAAATTGCAATATTTTTTTAACCCGTTACTGGTTAACGGTGCATATATGCACCACCTCCTATATACCTTATTTTAACATAGTAGTTTTTATTTTAAAAATTAATAAAAAAGATTTTTATATAGTTCAGACATTGTACTTCAAAACTGGAAAAGAAAAATATGAAAAAAATATTTTTTTATGTCCCTAAGAAACCCTCAAACTTTGCGAATTTATGAGGTCTAAAATGCAAAATTTTCTAAGTGATCTCACAAGCATATTATAAAATTATTTCGATGAAAACTAGTGTGTATATATTCTTTATAGATATATCAATATTTATCAATCATTTTTGAATTTTTAAATAATTAAAATTTTTATAGATAACCACATAAAGTTGACTTGTGCATATATGCACCGTTAACCATCTAGCAGTATAAATTATTTAAAAAAATTCAAACAAATGAAATTTAACATAATGAATTATAATTTTTTACATTATACTTAAAACCACTACCATCACTAAGGGTGGTGGGAGGAGGGGTGGGTGGCTCGAGCCCCCTAAGAATTTTTTTTAAAAATTTTATACCCAAAAAAAGACCTTTTGAAAATAGTTAAAAAAATTTTTTTAGCCCCCTGAGATTAAATCGAATAATATATTGTTCCTATTATAATTTTTTATCCCGATCAAATTATATGAAATTATTAGGTTCATAAATATTCAAAAGTTTAAAATTATTTTTAGCCTCTTCCTTTCTGAAGATTTTATTTTATTTATATAAAATATTACCCACCTGTTTTGTCAATTCAATCAAAATTATCAAAATAATAGATGACTAATAAAAAAATCAAGATTCTACGAAAATAATTTGTCTAGATATTTAATTTTTAATAAATTTTTTTAATGAAACGTTTTCTAACAATTGAACAAGCGCTTGCTCAACTTTTTGAAGAGGAACCAATTGAAGAAAGAGATATGGTTATAATTCCGCCAAACCCCTCTGCAGTTAGTGATGAAGAAGATTTCGATGAAAATGACTTAACAAATGTCGGAGTTTTGCCTTCAGATACAGCTGGAGAATTGGAGATTCATAATTCAGTTGATGACGACCTTCCAGAACCATATTCTACAAGCAGCTATTCTCGAATTTCTCACAATTTAAAATGGAGAAAAACGGATGCAATATATTCTTCAAGCCCTTTCAATGGAGAAAAGGAAGATGTAATAAAACTTGAAAATGATTTACATGGTAAAAGTCCATCAGATATATTTTCTTTAATTTTCGACGAAGACTTATATTCCCTAATTGTAGAACAAAGTAATATTTATGCTAAACAAATGAATAGACCTAACATATGCATAACCATCCAAGATATTCAGAGATTTATTGGAATTCTATTATTTACTGGATATCATTCTCTCCCACAAGAAAGAATGTACTGGTCTAATGATAGCGATATTTCTATTCCAATAATCCGGGATACAATGACCCAATTACAATAAATATAAATATCCATTTGGCAGACAATACTAAAATAGATATACATGATAGATTTTATAAAGTTAGGCCTTATATTAATATATTGAATAATAAATTTCAGCAATTTGGAATTTTCAAACATCATTTATCAATAGATGAACAGATGATACCATATCGAGGAAGACATTCTTGCAAAATGTTCATAAAAGGAAAACCAATTAGATTTGGATACAAGTCTTGGATATTGGCTTCTTTCGACGGTTACGTATTCTCATTTGATATATATCAAGGAAAAAGCGAAAATAAATATGAATATGGATTAGGTGGAAATGTAATCATAAAATTATTAAAGGCATTGCAAAAACCAAATTATCATAAAATATATTTTGATAATTTCTTTACATCATTTAAACTCTTGTCATACTTAAAACAAATGGGATATTTTGCAACTTGAACTGTGAGGGACAATAGAATAGAGCATTGCTCAGTTGAATCTATAAAGGTTGTAGCAAAAAAAGATAGAGGATATTATGATTATAGGTTTGAAAAATTAAACGAAATATTTGTAGTTCGTTGGAATGATAATTCGGTGGTGACCGTTGCATCGACATGCCACACTATCTCTTTGCTTTCTAATGTTTCAAGGTATTCTAAGAAAATATCTTCTAAAATAAAAATTCCTCAGCCAAATATGGTAACTACAAACACATGGGTGGAGTTGATCTATGTGATAATCTAATATCTACATATAGAATAAAAATAAGAGGAAAAAAATGGTGGTGGCCAATATTCACCAATTTTATTGATGTAGCTTTGGTAAATTCATGGAAAATCTGGAAATTCGTGAATCGAGATGACAAGAAGAGTTTGCTTAAGTTAGCAATTGTTTTAAATAAGCTAAATTTAAATGAAAAACAAGGCTGACCAAGCACAGTAAAAATTTTCAAAAACTTAGGCCCGGTCCAGGCCTGCTAAAAAATATAACATTAATGGGTCAATGGGCCGCGGATTGGCCGACCCTTGAAAATATTAGCCTAATGGTTCAAATCCTGGCTACGCTTATGGTACAATAATAGAAAACATAAATGTTGTAATATGTAAATTTACTTTGAAATAAAATCGAGAGAAGTAATATTCAAATCGACTGTTAAACAGAAAAACGAAACGAATTATTATATTATTTGAGTAAAGACGATGTAAATGAATAGGATAGAAAAGTATATATAATCGAGGATATTTTACTTGTAAATTATTATTATTTTGCGAACTTAATTTTTAACCTTTTATTTTAATTTTTCTTATATTTTATTTTTTTATATTTTAATTATGATTATGTAATTACAAATTTTATTAATTAATAAAGTATTAGTAGTTAATTTATTTATACTAATTATTTGTAATCTCTTTAATTCTCAACTACAACATTTGTTACCGAAACATGTTCTATGGACATATTCAGTCTGATTAACTTTTCTTTATTTGACAATAAAGAATCAAGTAGATAAAAAGATAATTGGATGACATAAAAAATGATGAAAATACCAAAAAAAATAAAAGAATATAATAGAATCAAAATTAAAAATTTAAAAAGAAATAATGGTAATAGTGAAAAATCGGAAAAAAGAAACGCTAAATAAAAGAAAGATAAGGGATAAAGAGGAAGTAAGAAGATTACGTACAACAGTTAAGCTATAAAATGAATATAATTAAGAAGTACAATGGTGCAACTTGCGTTATCAGCGGAAGGTATCAATAGAACCCCAGAAGAACGAATAATGGAGTTTAGCAATTACGAAAGAGTTAAATAGAATTTTGGGAAGTTCATTTATTTATTGCAATGACTAAAACGGTATAACTAGGGGTTAGAACAAAAGAGATCATAGAAATAATGATCAATGCAGCTTCGAAAATATAAACTGGGTAGCAGCGGGACCAACGAAGGGGGCATCGCAAGTTAGTTACTATTTTGGTTTCCTTTACTTTTAATTTTATTTTTTATAAAATTTATATTTAAGTGTATCTAGGGTGTCTTAAAAAAAATTAATTATTATTTATCATTTTAAAATATTAATTAAATTTTTGTTAAAATTAGCTAGATGGGAAGCATAAAGGCTCTAGCTACTCTAAGATTAAACATAATCATTTGCAATTTTATAAAGAAAAAATTAAAATTTTGTGGATATAGCTGCTCCTTTTTTTAAAATAACATAGTTAAAATAAATATAAAATTACTTAATATTTTTAAAATCTAAATTAGTTCTAATTTAGAAATCTAAAATAATAATAAAAATTTGATTCGAAAATGCAAGAAAAAACTTTAAAAATTAAGGGACAGTTTGACAAATCTATTAGCATCGTAGAGTTGCCTGTATACATCAAAACGCAAACTCAATCGATATTGTATCAGTATTATGCATTGCCAGAAGAACAGATGCATCTTTGTTCGTTTGGCGAAAATGAAAGCATACAGCATTTAAATCGCTATATGAATATTTTACCATATGATTTGACAATCGTCCCTATTCCACCACATCCTAATAATCTTCAAGGATATATAAATGCTAGTTTTATATCAATTAAAACACATTTGAGAAAATTCATAGCGTGTCAAGCCCCAATGTCTAGTACATTAGCCGACTTTTGGCTAATGATTTGGCATCATCGCTGTCCAAAAATAATAATGCTAACGAATTGTATGGAAAGTGGCATTGATAAATGCACTAAATATTGGCCTAATACAAATATGTCTTATGGAGATATCGCAATTCAAACGACGGCTATTAAAATTACTCAAGACTATAACATTATGGATTTAAAATTAAAATACCATTCCCTTGAGAGAAATGTTAGACATTTTCATTTCAAAGCATGGCCAGATCACGGTGTTCCTAGCAATCATAGTAGTTTAATAACATTTATGACATTGATTGAAAATTATGAAACTGACAATTTTTTCCCAATGGTTGTACACTGTAGTGCCGGAGTCGGAAGAACGGGTACGTTTATAGCAATTAGTATATTAAAAGAAACTGGTTTGTCAACAGGAGTTATAAATGTTTACAAATGTATAAAATCATTAAGATTTTTCAGGATATCCATGGTTCAAAATTTTGACCAATATATGTTTATTTACCGAGTCATAACTGATATTTTGTGTGATGCTGATTACAGAACTCCACCATTTAAATTTATGGCATTTTATGACAATAAGTTAGTAACAGTATCTAGGTTTGGTATATCACCTTTGAAACTTTTTGCAAATGAGAAATATGAAGTTAAGGATCTTGACGGGCCTTCAAATGTCGGAAGAAGGTACACAAAATCATTTGAGGAAGCTGACCTAAATATGATGACACCTTCAGATTTTGACGAAGGGGAACCTTTTTTTACATTGCCATTTGAGCTTTGCGGTTCTATAGTAATGGTCCATCAAGATGTAACTGCAAAATTGTTGAAGAAAAAGTGTGAAGAAACAAAATATAAAAAGTCCGCAGATCTGTGCAGGGTTATACAAGCTCATTACCCAATCACAGATGAAGAACTATTCTTTAATATTGGTGATATAATTTTGAGGGATAATAATTATGGATATTGGAGCACAGGTACCATATTTAGTAATAATAAAGAAATGCATGGCTATTATCCATTTCATAAGGTTATAAAATCGGATTCAGAAAAAAGTATATATGATGAAATTAAGAGTGTCGAATTTGTTTGTAATTATATGAAGTCGATGACAGTTCAGTATCACAGAGGTATCGATGTAGCATTGAAAGCTATAAATCAAATATGTTTGCAGATGTTGAATTCAAATACGGAGAATAAATTACAACTTGCATGTTTAGAAATAAGGATAGTTAAAGGAGAGGAACATATAAGTTTAAAACATCATAATGTTAATAGTAAAAGATCGAAAAGAATCATGGATTACGAACTTAGAGATATTTCGTTCTGTTGCATGCATCCTCTAATTTCTCGGTTATTCTCTATTATCACGAAAGAAAATTCTTCGTACTCGTGCCATTTGTTCGTAACTGATTCGCCATCAAAACCTATCATTGACCTAATAGGTCAAATATTTCAAAGCTATTCAATATCATAAATTATGTATCCATTATATATATTTTTCCAATATATCCTATGTTATATTCATCTAATGTTCATTATTTACAATTATTTAATAAAACATTTATTTTTGAATGGTGTTAAATAATTGATACTTTGGTAACCATAAACAATGAAGTGATCTATTAATCAAATTTTCCATTTCAGATGAATTCATTTGTCTTTAAATCATTTAGAAATTTCAAGAAATATAACACGAGTTGAATTAAGTCAATGTAAAAACCAATTAAGGTTTCAAAAAGTTTTCAATCTGATTTATTTATATTTTATGCCAAATTCAATTCTTAGAATATTAAAAAATTAAATCTAGCAGTGAAACAGTAGACAAGGAGATGGGGGGGGGGTTGAAATTTTTCATGGAAATAAAAAATATTATTAAGTGAAATTTGTGTTTTTCTGATACTTTTATATTAATATCAAAATTAAAATTTGCTTTCATTTTGCTTTCATCTATTTTAAAACTGATAATTCTCCTCCTTATTGTGCCAATTCTTTAAAATCACAGAAATTTATTTTATTTGAAAAATTACTTGAAAAAATTCTAACTACTAAACAATATCACAGCAATCTAAGATTTAATAATCAAATTTTTCCATATAAAGTTTTGTTGACAATAATAATTTTAAAAAACGGAACGTTTCCCAAAGACGTTATAATTCGCATTGAATCGACGTTTGAACTTTTATATTTTCAAATTTGAAAGCTCGTATGTATTAAACAATCGTTCTACCTTAGCGCTAGAGGGCTAAAATCATCTATCTCATTCTTTTTCAATTTTACCTTAACAATTTTCTAAAGATGCCACAAGTCTATTTGACTACTTATTTTTAAATCTAACTATTAATATATTCCAATGATATCGAGTCTCATATTTTAAAATATAATATTTTATTTAATT